GGTGGGGGGGAGGATGGACTAACTGATGATTTTTCCTTTTTCTGTCGCTGTCTGTCTGCTAGAGAGGTGCCTGTTGGTGGACGTGCCCGAGCAGGAGCCCCAGGGACACTATGACCTCCCCGTGAACAGCCACATCCCCGGCCACTACGACCTGCCGCCGCGGCACCGCCCCCCCTCGCCCCCCAGCAAGGCGCTGGACCGGTGAGGGGCTCTTTGGCGCTGGCGCTGTAGAGCTGGCTGGCAGGGTGACGTGGGCGCGTGGGGCTGGAGGACATTGCTACACGCCCCTGGCCCGTCGTGACAGATGCTGGAGAAACGGCTGGCCTTCCTTTCGACCGCTGTAGACATGGTGTAGATCACAGGGTACCGCCCCCCACGCAGGGGCGTTGGTTTGGAATGTCTGGTGTACTGGTCCACCATTGCCACTGCAGGCAGTGCAGCACACTCCTCTGCTCCAGCCTGTTCAAACCCCAGCCTGGCCTTGCCGAGCTCACGAGGAGCAGGCCGCAGGGCGGACCGCCGAGTACACACGTCCTCCAGCACGGAAAAGGAAACCGAGCGTCCAGATTCCTGTGTTTATATCATGTTACAAGTCTTCTTTAGCCAATTAGAAAGGTGTTTTAAACTGAATTGAGAAAGGTATTCATGAATTTTAAATACTTACTGTAACTCAGTTTCAAGTGACGCATGATGTGATTTTTTGACTGTTTTGTGGATGATTTATCATCCGATTTTTGTTCAACATGTGTTGCAACAGAACACAGCTGAAGCCCTAAATCGAGCAGCAGGGAAACTGGGTAATAAAATGGGACTAAAATAGGTTCAGGGTACGAGCCAAGAGTGTCTTCATGCGTCAGCTGTGTTCTGATCATGTAACAGTTCAGCCCATGGATTCGAGAGCAGTTTTGTGGTGCTTAAATATAAACAGCTCATGATTTTTGTTCCGCCCACACCAGTGGAAACAGCCAGTTGTGTGTATGCAGGTGTCAACCAGCAGGCAGCTGAATGAGTGGCAGCGGTCAGCTCTGGAGGTCAAGAGCCCAGGTGGCACAGAAACCAGCCGAGACGGCGGCTGAGCTCTACTGACTGGACAGTGTTCCACAGGAGCCCAAGTACTGTATGCAAGACTGTTCAATAGTGCCTCCTTTGAACACTGTCAGACCACTGGTACGCTGCTCCTGTCCTGCGCTGCAATAATGTCTATGTGCTTTAATTCCACTCCTGCTCTTCATGAGCTAATTGGGATGATGATCTTAACTGTTACACTTTAACAGTTTTCAGAGGCCTTAAGCCACAAAAAAACCTTCTGGATTCTGTTCTACAAGCGCAGAAGTTGACCAGCTTAGTTTAGTCATTTAGTTTGTAAGTCAACACTGCAACATAGTGAATGTTATAGTCTGGCTGATCCAACCAAATGTTAAAAAAAAAACACTTCATATAGTTCTCTCTCTCTCTCTGTGGCTAGGTCTAATGTTACAGAAATTTGTTGAAAGTTATTTTCAAATTTCAGGATCACTGAACACAAATAACTTCATTCTTCTAAGAAACAGCTGTTGGTCAGTGTTGGATACCAGGGAGTTTTTTACTGGTATTGGGGTTTGAAAAGGTTTTGTTGTGTATAGTGTGTAAAAACCCTTTCTGTAACCTGGATTTTGTTTTCAAATTACTTTTTTATATTAAGTGAATGCAGAAAAGAAAACATCTATTCTTGCAACAGCAACCAGGTTTCCTGAGTGGTTTTTGAAGCCGTCGGAGAGCTGCAGTTTGTGCGTTTGTGCATAAATTGTACTAAATCAAAACACACAAAACAAGTACTGTGAAAAAGAAAAGGCTTTATTTAAAAGGCTTTAACATTTTTTTAGTATGAAAATAATATTGGTAACACTTAAGTTCTATCACTGGCTGTGAAACAAACAACCCACTGATAAAAAAATAAATCTCCTTTTCTTATTATTTTGTGGGTCTGCTAAAGACACGCTTCAGAAAATACAAAGCATTTACAATTGAGAATACGGAATTTTCTCTTTAATATATAATCAAATACCAAAATCTACAATAATTCAGCCAATGTGGATTTCCATCTATTTTAACCAAATTCTTTATTTAAAAAAAAAATCCCCCTACATTCCTGAGTGCAGTTCTAGTCAAACCTTTGGTCTCACTGTTGTTGTGCCATTACTAGATCAGCTAAAGGTTACTCTTTGGTTTAAAGAGGAATAGTTCCAGATTCAAAGCGAAGGCTGAAAAAGGAGACTCCCATAAAATACATCATTGAGCAGTGTGTAGAGAGAAGAGTGTCACATCACCTCGTTGCTGATCAGACATCTCCAGAATGCCTCCTAGTGCTTAAATACCACTTTTTGTTTTACAGCAAACAAAATGGTACAGCTGCCTTGAATTCTAAAAGAACAATTCTGCAAAATGCAATCACAATAAATATGGCTTTGGTGAAGCTGTATCTCAAAAACTCTCATAGAAACCTAAGTAACAAAGAAAACTCCCTATTCGTGATTGTTACCTTACTGTAGTGAGCACTTTAGAACACAAATCTATATTCATGAACAGAACTGCAAGTGTTACCAATACTGCACAAGCCCCCTTCTCCCCCCCCAGTACGTTAAAGCAAAGCGTATAATTCCATCAGCTGCCTACCCTACGGCACAGGGGGTACCTATCCTCTCGACACGCTGGCCGCCACAGGAAGTGGGGCGCTCCATAGGGGTAGCAAAGGAAAGAGAATATTCTGCATTGGTTACATGGCGTATAAGGGTATTCAAGAGACACTAGCCTGTCTAATTCAGCTTTCTTTACTCTCAGTGACAAAGCGCTGCAGGTTTCCTGAAGAAGTTCTAATCGTCAGCAGGCCCACTGTTGGGAGAGACTGTTCTCATTAAGGCTAACTGGACTCATGAGTGCGGGCGGCTGCAATCTGGCAGGTTGTACTGGTCTGTTAAAAACCACAAGACTGGGAAAGGCTGGTTCTACTGTCGGTCCACTTAGGCCAGTGAGCCGTTCCACCTGCAGACACGGCAGTCCTACAGGACCAGAGAGAGACACCCCTGATTTAGGTGACCCCCCCCTGGGCCCACTCAAGAACAGCTGTCTAGCAGGTTCTGCAACCACGCAGGAGGGCTCTTTAACCCCCTGCTGAAGTCTTATTTTGCTGCTATTGATTTAAGACAGGGATCCCCAGTCCTAGTCCTGGAGGTACAGTGTCTCTACTGGGTGTTTTGGGGTTTTGTGTAAAGAGGCACTCACAAGTTCCTCCCAGGTCTGCAGGAGCTGCTGCTTGTTTAGTGGCCTGGAAGCCCTGCAGACCTACAGCAGCTCTCCAGGGCCAAGACTGGGGACCCCTGATTTACAGTGAGACACAGAGGAAGAGTCTCCAGTGCCTCTTGGTAACCTGAGTGTCGAGCTCTAAGTCGCTTCAGCAATGTAATCATCCTGCTGAAATATTAATACTTGTTAGAGCATCACTTTAGTACTGAAGCAACTGTAAGTGCTTTAGAGGAAACAGATCCACTGCATTGAGTGCAGAATTCTAACAAGTGCTGCTCAGGAGACAAGAGTCTATGGCACCA